ATCAGCAGAAGTGAGAGTAGAATCAGGCCTGATGTCTTCAACAATTCAATGCGGAATACTTCTTCACATGAACTGTTGTGACACTGGCTTAGCTCTATATATTTATATTTCAAATGTATTTTCTCAGTTAGGATGATATTCTGTGCACAATCAGCTGAGGCCTTAACTATGGAAGTCATTCTGTGACTTACAGCCTGACGAAAAGCACACAGAATCAACAACACAGGGGTAAGTCTAGGTACAGATGCAGAACTAGCGATTAGTTGGACACCGTTAGTTTGACCCCATGTGTTTCAGACCCAGAAAACCTCCCATAGCCAAGTTGCCAAAAGACAAGCACACAGTTTGTCATGCTACTTTAACTGTAGAGAAACCTGCAGCTGCCTACAGCTCTCCCATCCATGTTTTCCTCAAGCCACATGGCTGGGGCCCATGGGAGCAATAGAACTAGTGTGCTCCTGCAGAGAGTGCTGCTAAGACCTGTTTTCCCCCTCTGTAGTGTTAAGCTCAGCATGCTTCTTCCTCATGGTCAGTGTGTGCTCTGAACTTCCTTTGAGCAGCATTGAGCTCACAGTACAGGGAGAGAGAATGGAGCTAAGCATCTTTCAAATAAAGCACTGCAGGACAAAACCTGACCAGGCATACCTGTCATACCGAAGACTCTCTCAACCCCATAAGGAAGGGGTTGAAGGCTTGAGAGATTTTTGCAGGGCAGATGGTAAGGGGGAAGAGGAAACAGAATGACGGGGTTAGTGGAAAGGGATGTGCTGCTCAGGTAGAAGACAGAGGAGGCTGGTAGAGTGTGGCAGACAAGAAGAGGGAGAAGATACAAAAGGGGAAAATGGGCCTGAGGGGAAAGGAGATGGGAGGAACAGTGAAATGTAAAGAGAATGAAGAGGAAAGCATGGTAATTGTGACCATGGCACGGGAAGGATGCAGGGAGATAGCAAGCATCACAAGTGAATCTGGAGAGGATTCACCATCTTTTCTTCTTCAACCAGCGGCCCTGGAACACTTCCCTCTTCCCCCCCCCCCCTTTTTTTTTTTCTAGTGGGGGAGCTGACGTCCGTGATCCCCAAACTTTTTACTTCACGTCTATCTTACCCCTGTCTGTGCCCCCTCTCCCCAGAGCTGGGGCCAGAACCGGGCCGTGGCTCCAGGGGGGAGGGGGAGGTAGACAGGTGTGAGGGGGCTGAAGCTGGGACCACAGCTGGGGCTGGGAGCAGAGCCCCGGGTGTGGGGCCAGCAGGTGGCGGCCAGGACCCTGCGCACGGGGCCAGCAGGTGAGACCCTGTGCAAAACCTGGGGGTGCTGCAGCACCCCCACATCCCTAGTTCCCGTGTCTATATCTTCAACCCTTAAAGCACAGAATATGGCTAGCAGAGCTCTAGTTGTGACATCTTTCAGTCAAGGTGACATCTCCTGTAATAGTTACAGTTCATGATCTCATACTTAAAAATGTGAGGATATCAGAAACTTGTAATGCATAAAGCTATTTCAAATAGGAGGTCAATATACCACTAGATGAGAGAGAGAGAGACTACATTATTTAATCATGTTTTGGTTTACAATATTTTGTATGATGTTAAAACGTCTAACACATGCTTTCAAAAATCAGCAAAGTTATGAATTATTCTGGTTGATTTTTTTTTTTTTTTTTTTTACCAGAGCCAAAGGTAGCTAGCTGCCTGGCCCATGATAATCTCATTCCTCACTAACCTATTCTCTCTCACACCCAAACTAAAGAACTGAGAAAGTAATAAGTGATACTTCAGATACACAGGCTGTGGGGGATAATAGCCTTCTCACTTACCTTCTAACCAGGGAGCCCAGTTAAAATAAATTCAGGCTGGATGCATGTGGAAAACTCAATTGCAGTCACAGCAGAGATGAGCCAAATCAGTGTTACTAGTGTAAAATCCTAATAAGAGCTAGATGTCAGTCAGAGAACATCACACATTTCCTTTGAGCATTATAAAGGGACCCCAAGGATACTGTAAATCTGCTGAGGCCCAGCAACCCAGCAAATACCTTTTATTCACATCCCCCATAGTGGACCAAAGAAGTTACTGAGGACCCACACTTAATGTTGCTTTTTAGCTAGATATAAAAAGCATCTCCCAGTGAGGCTGCAAGAGCTATTTAAGTCTCATCATCTCTAGATATACATATATGGGTCGATGCACCACTGTGTTACTCCAGCTGTAAGACATTTTAAATTTTGATGGAGTTACACTGGCATGCAAGTGGAGTAATATAGCACCGAGTCAGGCCCATACATGTGTGTCTGTATTCACTTACAAATGGCATCCTAGGGAATTGTTGAATGGGATTCTAAGGAGCTTTCTAGAGTCCCTTTAAATAGATTAGAAGAAAATAGCATTGAAATCCAGGTTAGAAAAGAAAAGACAAGGATATTTACCTCTTGAGCCTTCATAGTGTGGCAAAGCATCAAGCAGACACTTTGAAACATCAACACTTAGAATACTGACAGTTAGATTTGTGGTGACTGACCACCTGTATCCCAAAAAACGGGGGGGGAAACTGCTGATACAGAGCCGGTATATTGAGTGGATACACACCCCACTGGTCAGACAAAAGAAGAGATCTGCCAGTGCCACGGGTTTGCTATGGATAATACTATGTTGATTTATTAAAGGATGTGCTCCTCCAGCGAATTTTACTATATCATCATAAAACAACACTCCTGTCAAGTATATTAAGCTGAGTAATTTTGCTGGCTCTTTGCTGAGGCTGGGGGAAGTATATTTTGGTTGTTTAATGTTGGTTGGTAAACAAAAAAAAAAAGTTGTAATTCTAAACAAACCACCATCACTAACAACAAAAGTTGACGTCTGTCTTGTCCATTCAGAATGTGACATGTCATAGTACAGAGTCCCAATGTGCAAAGGGGAAATGCTGCAGTCACTTACAACAATGCCAATCCAGAGTAATCCCATTTACTTCAGTGTAATTAGACAGCTTGTCTCTCTCACCAACAGAAGTTGGTCCAATAAAAGATATACCTCATCCACCTTGTCTCACTAATATCCTGGGACCGACACCACAACAACACTGCAAACAACAATTGTAATTGACAGCAGTATTTGTTCCTTGTGTGTTTAAAGGTCAGAGCAGATTATCAGAGCTACTTGGTGTTTTGCCAGTGATTGGCTGCATGACCTTTGGCAAATCACTTGACCTCTGTGCCTCAGTTTCCTGATTTGAAAAATGGGGATAATAGCTATCTCATATGGGTGTTGTGAGGCTTAATTATTTTAGGTTTGGTAAAGCATTTCAGGATGCTCAGATGACAGGCACACCAGAAGTGCAGTATTATTAGGCTGTATATATGTTTAAACAAGTTGTTGAAAACATTTTAATTCCCCTTTGCAAATGAAACTTGCAGAGAGGGAGGGCAAGCATTGCTAACACTGCTTCACCACATACTGTCAAGTACTTATAAACCCTATTTATAGCTACAGTTAAGGATTCAGATATGGAAGTACTCCATTAAAAGCCCACATTAATGAGTCCTCTGAGAAAACCTCTCACGAAGCCTTTTGAGCTCATAACTACTCGCTCGTGCAGGGCTTCTTGCTTGTTAACATTCATAAAATATAAATACTGTGTACTAAACACCAGCACTTTGTAGATCACAATGACTTCTCTTGCCATCAACAACTTAAGTTATGCACTTGGGAGATGCACTGCTAGAACTCCACTGCATGTCATTCATCTCCAGTGGCATGTACAGTAACTCATTCCTATTTGGGAACCTTTCTTTTTATTTGGAAGCTGAGTGTCTCACTACTTGTTACTCATTAGGTCAGTATCCGTGAGTATAATTTCTGAGATAACAATCGAGCCTGTTAGTTGGGAGTAGCAGAGAAATTCTAGTTGCAGCTCCAGCTCAACATAGTGACCTCTGATTGTTAGAGCAAAATCTAACAGATTAAAAGCTTGTGCAGGAATTGAAGTAATGGGGAATATTTTCCATTGACACAAACTAGTTCATAAGAAGTGTCATTTGAGAGAAAAAAATTGCAATATGTGATATTTTTCATTTTTTAGTATTATTGTCTATTTATGGTCTGGTAGTTCTCATATTTACTCTCAAGATTTCACTTTTTAAACTTATGACATCAGCCCATATTTTTAAGACATTTTGATGTGGTATGTTTTACATGCAATTGCCACATGAAGAACACAATTATGAAAATAAATATCACTCAAGTTTGTTTACTAATGCTCCATAGTCTTTATGTAGCATTTTGTCATCCACAGATCTCAAAGGACTCTGCAGAGGTGGGTAAATTATCTTTGTTATATATTTTCCCATCTGTAAGATGGAGAAACAGAGTTAAAGAGAAGTAAAGGGACTGGCCCAAGGACACACACTGAGCCAATGGCAATACCAGGAATAGACCCAAGGGCAAATGGCTCCTAGACTGGTGCCCAATTAACCGCACCTTTCTACTTTTGTCTTCCTAGCCATTTTATTTCCTCTGTGCTGCAATCTCACTGGAGCAGTGGCCTCTTGAAAAAATATATATCACTATGTGAAGAATTGTTCTGCACCTAAATTAAAAAATAAAGACAACAATACACTTTTAACAGCCATAGGACTAAACCCTGCAGTTTTTACCCTGCAAAACAGTCATTGACTTCAATGGGAATGTTGCCTATGTTTTATTATTATGCAGGATTTACCCCATAGTTATTTTATAACATAGGATATTTTATAACAGTCATAAGAGGCTATTGAAAATATCAGGATTTTATAGTGGCTGCAAACTGCCTCACCTCATAAACTACTCAACTAATCATGAACTGAATGAAGATGTAGTGACACTGTATTTACCACAAAATGAATAAATGCCTGCTAAAATATAGTATCCAGACTGTATGTGAAGGAACATACAGGTTAGTTTGTAGTACAGGCAAAAAAGCAGTATTTTGGCACGCCCATCAAAATAGCTGTTACTCGCTCAACTCACACCAGATCCTTCCCGTGTCCTTTATTTTTTCAAAAGAGTATTCTTGTTTTTGCTCTGTCGCATTAGTCCTCATCTATGTCCCAGAATTCTTTGCACTGGCTGCAATGGTGCTTCAAAAAGAGGTGCCACAGGAGCCATTTCAGGTGGTTCTGAAGTGTACCTGAAACACAGAGGCACCCACCATAAATAGCTGACATAAACAGAGACAATCTATCTGCTGGGGAACCATATGGGCAAACGCTGTCTAGTCAGAAAACAACGGTACAGAGCTAGTGTATCATGGAATGACCACAGGCAGATGTGGATTTAAAGGCTCAATAGATGTGGAAGTTTGGGAGGATTTCTCCTAATGGAACTGAATGCAAAAGGCATAAAATTTCCAGTGATGGAGACTCCACCACAATCCTTGGAAAGTAGTTCCAATGAGTAATTACCCTCATTGTTAAAAATGTTCACCTATATTTCTGACCTGAATTTGTCTAGCTTCAACTTGCAGCCATTTTATCTTAAAATACCTTTGCTAGATTGAAGAGCCATCTATTACACTGCTCTACAGCCAAAATGCTTCTGAAATAAATGTAGT